ATGCACACAAACATACATACACAAACATACACACATATACACAAACATACAATGCATATTCACACATACACAGAAACATACACACACAAACATATACACATACATTCACACATACACAAAAACATACACACACAAACATATACACATACATTCACAATACACAGAAACATACATACGCATACAAAAAACATATACAAACACACAAACATATACACACATTCACACATACACAGAAACATACACACAAACATATACACATACACACACATTCACACATACACAAAACATACACACACAAAAAAACGTACACACACAAACACACACACAAATATTCACACATACACAGAAACATACACATACAAACACACACACACAAGTACACTCATACTCCCACCCACCCACACTGAAATCTGAGGACAAAGAGCAGAAGCAAAGATGAAAAAGTTTGCACTTTTCATCCATATATTATTGCCCCAAATAATAAAAACTGAATTATTTCAGAACTCACATTTTTATCACTAGAAAAGTCTGCTCACACAGAAAACAGGACAGAAAAACAAAATAAGCAAGCAAGCAAACAAACCAAACCAACCAACCAACCAACCAAACAAACAAACAAACAAACAAAAAAATATCCTCACTGCTAAGGAGAGGGAGCCAGTCACACGGAACAAACACCACATGAGTTAGCCTGGTTGTCACATCTTACAAGTCAGAATAATTCCAGAATTGTACTACATGAATCAAACCAATGTACTATATGAACCAAATCAGTGTCCGGTCATTTGCTGTGAGAAGAGAATTAAGTGTCCTGTGAGGGCTCCAACTGTCGATTGCCTAAGATCATATCGTCCTACTGTTTTCAGAAATGAACTTTTGCTATCTAGAATAAATCCTGTATTTTGTCTCTCCCTGTGTATTCTTTTCTCCAGCGTTCCATGCATGAGCTTCCATTTGGGGAACTGATGTTCCTGCAAAAGCAAATGAGCTGCGGTTGCCATGGGCACGAGGGCTGCTGAAGCTGAGGCTGCGCCTGCGCCTGTGCCTACACCATCCCCACCCCTGCCAAGCCAGCTGGCTCTGGCAAATGCTTTCACTATTTCTGATGAGATCAGGGGAACAACCTTCTGCATGTACATCTTGCCCTTTACCCTGTCCGTGCTCTCGGGGTCTCTGCTATTAAAAGCAGGCTGGCCTCGAGGAGCATGGCTGGCCTCGAGGAGCACGACACTTTCCTGAGGTGTAGCACCTTGGCACCTGGCATATCTGGAAGACAAAGAGTTCACAGCTGATGGGACTGTAGCTAAGTAGGCAAGTGGTACGGGTGCACCTGCTCCTACTCTCCAGACAGCGTAGACTTTAGAGAGAACACATACTCTACTATGCTCTTAAACTATAGGGACCGTGGGACCGTGAGCTCTGTTCCCTCTCAAGACAGGGTAGGTTTTAGAGATCACATGTATTCTACTCTGCTCTCAAGCTATAGGGACTGCTGGTCTGACACCTTCACCCAACTGAAGGACCTTTTAGAGAGAGGGAGGTCAGTGCTTCTCCAGAAACCCTGGCCTCTCCCTCCTTTTACTTTGAGTGCCTCCCCAGTCCTGGAGGCTAGCCTTGGGTAGAATAAAGGACTAGGTCTTGCACCTCTCCCTTCCCTTTCCAAGTGATGGCTCCATTTTGAGGTACTTTATAAGACCCCCTCTCAGTGCACCCCCTCTCCCATAGCAACAACATTGCCAACAATCCTAGCGACCATGTGATCCACCTCCTCCATTCCTGGGCATATACCCAAGGCACTGAAAACAGGGTCTTGGAAAGATACTTGTGCACCCAGATTCATGGCACCATTGTTCACAATAGCTAAAGTGTGGAGGCAACCTAGGTGTGTATCAACAGATAAACACGCAAGCAATATTTGGGACAGACACATAGCCAGCTACCATCTGCCATAAGAAGGGAATTCTGACACAGGCTGCTGCATGGGTGATTCCCGAGGAACCATGTGGAAGGAAATGACGTAGTAATGAGAGGACCGTGCTGTGTGATTTCACAAAGATGACGTACACAGAGAAAGTAGATGTTTCTAGAGACCGACAGGAGCGCTACTGTGTGCTGGGTAGAGAACTCTAGTCTCACAAGAGGAAGTGAGTTTTGGAGGTGGGTAATGATAACGGCCATACAACAGTGAGAATATGCCCCATGCTGAGCTGGCACATTTAATAATGGTAATATGTTTGTATATTTTGCATTTGCAATTCCTTAAAAATCTTCCAAATAAAAAAAATTCATGCATCCCATTTTTCTGTTGCCCCTTCACTTCCAAAATAAAATGGCTGAAGGGTTTTCTTCTCTTGGCAGTGACTGGGAAAGGGAGTCAATGCACACAACACGGAGTATGTGGTGCTGTGTGCAGGGGACTCAGAACAGGTGTCTTACTCCATCTTACACACAGAGAGAAGGAACAGGGACATCACTGCCTTCTGGAGTCTATAAGACAATAGAGCAGAGAACACAAAAGAAAGGGCCGAGAGGCAGCTCTTCGCACTCAATGGCCTCACCAAGGTAACGTGACTCAAGTTGCAGTGTTCCTGCCCGACCACAGAGCCCATCTCATGCCCTAGACCACTCAGCCAAGTGCTCTTCACCACTCCTTAACCAGCCACTGGTCCTCCCACCTCCACGGCTCGGCACCATGTTCCCTTTGCTGGACTTATCTGATTTTCTCTGCCCTTGTACACCTTTTACAATTAAATCACATGTTTTCCTGTACTGACTGTACTGCAAAAATGCCTGTAGGCCATAAAGCTCAAAGTTCAAATTCGAGTGTAACTCAGCTAACCTCTGCCTGACTCAGTCTGTGACTATCTCAAAAAATACTTAAAGTAACATATTATTTATTAAATAGCCACATATTTATTAAATGTAAATATAACTAAATATTAAATAAAAATAGCAGAGTCTCTGCAGGAACCTCTTCCTGGGTCAGATGCTTACCGCCTCTCTCTGACTTTTATCAGTTGATTTTGGGAATGCCCAAAATAATAATAATAGTGGAAATAACCTGCAGCTACCCAGTGCCTCCAGAACGAACTCAGCACAGAGGAATGTGACGCAAGAGTCCCTTCTGACTCTGTCCTAGTCAGGCGTTCCACAGCCCTTCCTTCCGCCCATTCAGCCAAGTGCTCCACACCACGTGTTAACCAGTCACTGGCCTCCCACCTCCCCAGCACGGCACCACGTTCCCTTTGCTGGGAGACCCCCTTCTTAACTTTGCTACCTGGTGAGCCATGCCTGTGAAGGCATCTTGGATTTCCTTTGGAGCTATCTCCTCAGAACAGATATAGCACTTGCTGTTTTCCTACCACAAGAGACTATGACTTCTTTGCAAGTGAGGATCTGGCCTATTCCTAAATGCTTGGTCTGGACTCTTAGCATTAGCCAAGTCTCCAGAGAGGACATGCTGTGTAGCACTTCTCAGGCCACGCCTAGGCTGTCATGCCCTTACATTCTTTCAGAACAAGCCCATTTCCCTCCTTAAATTATAAGGTTTACAGAATATAGAAGCCATGTCTTACTTCTAGATCCACATTTTCTAACTTAAGACTTTGCAAAAGGTAGATGCTAGATGTATTAAACAGACAGGCCTTCACGGTTTTGTGGAAGTAACTTGGAGAACACAAAGGGGAAGCTAGGAGCTTTGGAGAAAGGTAAATTCAGGTGAGCTGAATATAGCTTTCTATCTCTGCCGACAGCTAAAAATTGCTTGAATTGTCAGAGATTGAATTCCTGGAGACAGAGTCCTGGTCAGGGAGGAGGAGTAGATAAAAGCAAGGACAGATCTTATGCAACCAAAAGCACGGTAACTCAACGCATCACAGGCTGTTGATCTTAAGCCCCAGTGGCTTCAATTAATAATGAAATGCTCATGGACTAGAACATTGCCAAATGTTAACAGTAGCCACTCCTGGGCTGTCCGGTTGGCCTCATACACTGCTGTGGGTCTTCTTCCCGTTTTCCACTAAAACTCAATGCCATTCTCTCTGGAAATGATGCATGAGTTTAAGTTTTATCTTAAAAACTACAACCTGTTTTACCTCTTGAGTCCCAGTCAATGTGTGTGATGTAACTAGAGGCTCCTTTACAGATGCCAACCCTCTTGCTTGTAAGCACATTGTAAATATCCACGAAGTTATCATGGGATGCCACAGCAAGGTATTTTCCTGTATCTGTAGAGACAAGTATGTAGTTAACAGCAACACAGTAACAGAACACAAGTTTACCTCCAGGAACTTAAGATTTTGAGGTGGGAGAAAGGTCAAAGAAACTTTTAGAACAGTCTATTTTTATATAGAAAATGGTCTCCAGATTGCTATTTTTTTTTTTAAAAAAGTATTACTGCCTTCTTCACCTTTTGAAAATTTTATGTCAGAGATCATTTCTTTTCTGTGATGGAAGGAGAGCATGTCTTCCACGGTGTCAGCATTCACCACCAAGAAACTTCCATCATTCAATCCGACTGCTAAGGCTTTCCCATCAGGGGAGAAGGCACAACATCTTCCTCCTACAACAGGACCCAAGAGAATTCTAATTGAGCACTTGGCTGTTGAGTAAAGCAGATGGAGACACAGGAGGAACATGCATGTGTGCCTCACATGCTTACACGTGACTGGGCCTTTATCACCACTACCCGGTGGGAATTAAAATGTCATTATCTAGGGACTAGTGAGATGGTCCTGTGGGTAAAAGCTCTTCTTATGCAAGCCTGACAACCTGAGTTTGAACCTGAGAACCCATGGTAGGAGAGGACCAACTTCCAAAAGTTGTCTGTAGACTTCATGTATATGTGTGTACATATAACATAATAAATGTATATTTTTAAATCTTTGAAAAATAGTATAATTTAAGTGTCTTCTTCTCACAGAGTATCAAAATCATATTTTAGGGCTGGAGAAATAGCTCAGAGGTTGACAGCACTTGCTGCTCTTACAGGACCTCAGTACGGTTCCCAGTACCCACATCAGTTGGTTCTCAACTTCCTGTAATTATAGCTTCAAGTAATCTGACATGCCCTTATTTGGGCACCTGCACGCACATGTACACACTTCCACACAGATACACACAATTAAAAAATAAATCTTAAAATACATTTTTATTTTCCATGATGTTTTCCCATTCATTTCTTTATCTTGGAGTATCTGGGCTTTGGAAGGCAGGTAGGGTGAGTTGGTGAGGGAGAGGGCTAGGTAGATAACATAGCCCTCTGAGAAAAGATGACACATTCAAGAACATGTGTTCTCCAGCAAAATTTCTAGAAACCATTTTTGGGACATTATGACTGGAAACACATTTGTTTTGTTTAGAAACCCTCATAATTCTAATTTTTCTGCTGCCTGGATCACAATGCGCAGTCAAGCTGACACAGCCCAAGCCCTGGTGCTTTGTGCTGAAGCAGCTCAGTCTGGTTTCCACAGGGAGCCACGCCTCTGCTGATAGATGTTGAAGCTGTGTAAAGCTAGTAACCTTGAATTGGCTTATGTAAGCAATCTCTCCATTCGTTTGTCCAGTTAACGTATATATTTACCTCCTGTGAGCCAGTCAAGCCAGCATAGTGAGACAGAAAAAAAGACCAGCTAGCCCTGGGGACAGTCATCAGGGTGAGGGAACCATAATTTACCATACAATTTAGGCCAGAGTTTAGAGCGAAAGGAGAGATAGTTATACCAGGATAGCAAGGGAAACTGGAGGAATTATTATCTAAGATGCAGCAGCAGTTGCTCTTTTGAACCAATTTTTAACCTAAGGATTAAAGCTCATTGACTAGCTTCTACAACAAGGTCCTAGTTTCATTTTACGATGCAAGTTAGTGGGCAAGTGATTCAGTTATTCAGAGCATGGCTCTGAACTTGGTTGAAATCCTTCCCTCACCTGCTGCCAGGTTGGGAGTCCAGGGTAAAGTGAGACCATGTGGGGAGGTAGTGACAACCAGTGTGCAGCTGTGCTCTCGAGGCACCGTGCTGCAGTGTGCACTGTTTCATTGCTCATTAGTTAGGTGACACTGGACAAAGTACTACGGTACCCTGTCTCCGTTTCCTGACATGAATCAGCCTTAGTCACCAGGTCTCTGCAGAATAAAGGTGATGTGCCAGTGTGGTCTCTGGCTCACGCTGATACTACCAGTCAATATGATTTCATTAGGCATTGTTCCTTTAGACTACACCCCTAGGTCTCTGCATACAGAATGACCCAGTACAAATACTCAAGGCCGGAGCCCAAGCTCAGCCTTTCCTGTCTTAAGAATTTTTGTTAGACCCCAAGGCTCAGCTCTCTTGTTGCCTCCCTAAGAAAGCAGTGCTGGGTGGCAAGTCTGAGCTGAGCTTTTGTGGCCTCTTGCTCATGTGGGAGCTTCACCTACTCTCTGCCTGAAGCTGGCCCAAGTGGTTGGTGTCCGAGGCTCCCTTGCCTCTTGATGTCTGTGTGGGTTTGACCAGGATGGAGTTGGCAAGACTGGCAGGCTGAACTGTCTACTCCTCCAGACACCACCTGAAATGCCACCATCTCAGACACTCCACCAACCACTCCGTCCTTTTGTCTTGTAAAGCCCAGGCCTTGCAAGGACACCTGCAGTTACTGATGGCACAGCAGTGCACATTCCTGGTCATTTCTTTAAACTCTACCCACTCCTTTATAAGGAGTCCTATTTATAGACCCTTCTCAAATTATCTGAGTAAGCAGGCCAGCTGCTGCTGGGACTCCTTTTAAATCTTGTCTATATCTGATTCTAGAGATGAGACTGTTCTCTGTGGGATTCCAGGGCCTGATATAAGAAGTACTCAAGAAGCACTTGCTGAACTGTTAGCCCCTGGCAGATGTCTGTACTGTGTGTAGATGTCAAACATACATTTATGACATTATTGTTTTCTATAAAATTGACCTTTTATTTTCCCTAAATTCTGGGGACTGTTAGTCATACATATAATTAGTGTTTTTTTCCGTTTGTTTTGTTTTTATAAGCTGACACGTTTCAGCTCTCAACTAGAAGAGAATACACTCCAGGGGCAAGTACCTGTGCAGTTCAAGCAAAGTGAATGGGGCTGAGGCACTCTGAGACCAGACCAGCTTTCTGGAAAGTCTCTATGCACTCACTCTTAATTTTAACTGCACAGTGACCTCTGAATTCCCTTGCTCATATTTTTGGGATTAAAACAGGTGCTCTCATTAAACAGTGCTTGAGTGAGAGAGTGAGAGAGTGAGTGAGTGAACCCAATATAGTCTGTTCCCTGTAAACAGACACCTTTACCTGTGAGGAGATGTTTTGTACCTTTTTTAAGTTTCCGTACTGCCAGCATGCGGTGCTGGGAGGATAATTCCCAGATCCGAAGTGTTTTGTCATCACTTACTGTCGCACAGATGGGCAGGAGAGGGTGTGCTGCCAGCCCCCACACCTCCCCTTCCATGTGTCCCTGTGGGAGAGGAAACAAGGCAAAGTAAACCCATGTTTTCTTCCCAGCCCCTCTTCAGCCCATGCTGAGAGTGCCTCAGGCTCAGAGTGCCTCAGACAGGTGAACACATGAATAAACAGCTCCCTTCAGCCAACATGGCCACACTACGTCATTTTTCATGTATGGCCTTTAAGCTAGGTGTTCCTGAGACAAATCATTCTTCCAGAAAGCAAAGCACAGGACTCACTGCTTATGGGTTTATAGCATGGAAGACATTTTCCCACCTAGCAACAAATATCCAGGTAAATGGTAAACTTTCCACCCCTCGCCCTTGTTTCGTGTATGTGTGCACGTACGGATGATTAAGTACACGGATGATCTGTACTGTGTCTGTGGAGGCCGAGGTTAACATTAGCTGTCTTCTTTAAACGCTCTTTACCTTAAGCTTTGAAAAGAGCTCCTTGGTGATTTGGCAAGGCTGTCTGACAGTGAACTCCAGGGAAACACCTGTCTCTGCCCATCTCCAGCCCCCAGCCTTGGAGCTCGAGATGCATGTCACTGTACCTAGATCTTTACCGGGTACTAGGGACCCAAATACAGGTCCTCTTGCTTGCACAACAAGCAGCTCACCAACTGAGAAATCTCCCTAGATCCTTATCCTACTTTAACTGCATAAACACACTGTGTAAACACATTGTGGTAAAACTACTTGGTCCCACTGACACCAACTACTGCCATCTATGAGTCTACATGCTGAAGTGTAGGTGCCATCCACCTTTGTCATGGAACTAGGCAACAGTACTCCTGTTTATACACCTGTAGTCCTTCAGGTGCACTGGGTTGGGTTTCTCTTGCCCCCAATACTGAGGACTGAACCTAGGGCCTCATGCATGCTATTCAAGTGTTCTACCACTGAGCTACAAGATGCATTTAGTCTGGCTGAAAAGAAATAAACCTAAATTCTGACTTGGAGAGTCATAGATGTGTTCAGACTCAGTATTTGTTCATACATCGGTGCACCTATGTGCCAACAGTAACTGACAGAAAGCTGCAAGGTGTTTAATAGCACACAGAGGCAATTCCACACTCCTGGGTCGTGTCATGAACACACACCCAGACTGGCTGCAAAACAGTGACTGGGATAAAACAGTATTTAAATATCAACACTTAACCGAAGAAAACCAATTTATCCCTTCAATAACGCAACACTTAGAAGAGATTCGCACCACACAGTAATAAGCAGACCATTAACTAAGCTACTGCTTGGAGCGATAGCAGGCAGACCATACACACGTCCCTGGGGGACTGGCAGTTGGAATGCTTTGGGGCAACAGGCAGCTTTCCTTTTTTTTTTTTTTAAAGATTTATTTATTTATTATATATGAATACACTGTAGCTGTCTTCAGACACACCAGAAGAGGGCATCAGATCTTATTACAGATGGTTGTGAGCCACCATGTGGTTGCTGGGATTTGAACTCAGGACCTCTGGAAGTGCAGTCAGTGCTCTTAACCACTGAGCCATCTCTCCAGCCCCAACAGGCAGCTTTGCAAAGAGAGACCAGATGACATCGTATCTGGGAAGCTGTCTGAGCGACACAGTGATCCAGCAGAAGCTGTGAACTTTCACACGTTATGCACACTGGGGCTGAGCAGCAAGGTTCTGCCCTCCATCCCTTGGGACTGTGACGAATTATATCCTCATTGCTGGTCTCTAGAGTCACAAAATATGGTAACAGGCTACCCCCAATTATTTTCTCTTAGACTGGCTCTGCTAAGAGCTTTATATTGTTTGGTTTCAGACCCCAGGACAAGAGACTGAGGTGCGCATTTTACATATTTACAGGAGACCTGGCCTCCTCGTTCTTCCAGCTGGGCTGCCCTTCCTCCAGAGGCTCTTCTCTATATAACCCAAACATTTTGTGTATCCTTCCTTCCTTCCTTCCTTCTTTCCTTCCTTCCTTCCTTCCTTCCTCCCTCC